AAGAAGTTAATAAACAGTCTCCGTTTTGCAGGTTATCCAAACGCTGCTGAATAGGAAAACCTTGGATGGCTAAATGGTGTGTAATTAAAATTATTTTTAAAATCCTCCTTGACAGGCCGGGGCTTAGCCAAAATGTAAATGACATTAAAGAAGACAATGAATTTAATTTTATTTAATGTCCCTTTTTGCAGATCCTCATTTACATAGCGTTTTTAACAAAAGCGTTGACCTTATAAATGCTGGCATTTGTACAGCTCCCTCCGAGTTGGATTTAATCACGCTCGTGCAAAGCCATGAGGGAGGGAGCTTTAAGTTCTGTGCTTGGAGATGGAGTGGAATGAAAACATTGGGACTGGTCAAATGTTTATCCTCCCCGCTTCCGAAAACAACCTGACAGGAAGATGGAAGGGGCTAGGGAATAGCCCGGTGCTGTTTGTAAGGCTTGGTAATAATCATACATAATCGTTTGGAAATATAGCTAATAAAAAATATAATGAGTGTTCAGCAAAATCGGCATTAGGCCCAAATTACATGATATTAATACTTGAACAGGTGCAGAAAGGCGCTTTAAATGAGGTAAATGAATAAAGCGTCCCAGAGCACAACTGTGTGTGCTGACAAAAGTCAATGCCATGAATAATTCAGTGGGAGGACTGCCAGCAAAGGTCGCTCTCTTTGACCTTTGTGACAGGAAGTGAAAGGAAACACTGTTGACTAAAAAAAAGGAAAGAAAGAAAGAAAGAAAATCTCCGATGGGTCTTCAGCTACAGTTCTGCAATCGTTTTAAAGGTGTAAACTTCAAACTCGTAAATGAATCTGAGCAGCGGCATTGGGGGTGAGCGGGCGGCGGGGGGGTGGGGGTGTGCGGAGTTAAAAAGGTTGGGGTTTGGGCATGTGACGGAGGACAACGTGAAATCGCAGACAATGAAAGGTTAAGTCAATAATATTTTTCTGCAACCCTATGTCAGTTATGTATAAAAATCTGAGGTCAGCTGAAAAGTATTTTCAGAGCCCACAGGGTTGAAATTTTGTAACAGCTGTTAAATATGACAAAACTTTGCTTCTCTCCCACCTCCCCCCACCCCCCCACCAACTAGAGCTATTCCAAACTCTGTATGAAAGAAAATGGAATAAACAGATGTCTGGCTTCCAGACAGCAAAGTAGGACAGACTTGGAATGATAAGTCTCCCGAACGCCATAGACCAATGCCAGGTTTGCTGGGGAGGGGGCCCCGCTGCCACAGAGATGCCAGCGTGTGAGACGCCTGAGACTGTGCCATCTGGAACTTCGGGCGCCGCACGGGGCCCGTGTGCGACCGACCCGGCCGCTCGGATGTCCCAGCACCCGACTCCTGCCACCCCGAAGTCTGCCTGCCCGGTCGCAACAGTTGGACCCTGAGCCCCAACCCACTGGGCTGGGCAGGGACGGAGGTAAGAGCACGCGCCTCCCCAGGCATGTCCACGGGGCCTCAGGCGACACCCCGGGAGGGGATGGCATGAGAGGACGACGGCCAAAGTGTGGTTTTGGTTTAGCAGCTACACCGACATCCTGTAATCATTCACAGCCTTTGGAATGCACGGGTGAGACGGGAGAGATTCATCTGCTCATAGCTGGGCGGTGTGGACAATGGGTGTCCCTAATGGAGACCATCTGCTTTTGTGTTTTCCCAGAAAACATTATTCCACGAGGAAAACGATACCCCATCCCTTTCAGAATACCGTAGAACACTACGTGTGTGTGTGTGTATGTGTGTGTGTGTCTGTGTACACACACACATACACACACATGCATGTATGTGGGGACGCGCACATGGTGTACACATACACGCACACACGTGCTCCCCCACCCCCGCTTCTGGCTCTGCAGGTCACTACAGCCACATACATGCTTTCTACCATCGCAGCTCTTCACTGGCCATGCTTTTACTTTATAACGTCACGTTTCTCCTCCACCCCGGGAGCTGCTGTGTTCTCCTAAGCCCGCGGTGGTGTAATTATATTTGCGGAGCCGTAAACGACGGTTTCTCTGGCGTTGTTTTATGAGGAAGAAGACAGTTCAGGGAAGTGAAACCTTCACAATAACAGGGTTTCCCCACACAAAAACAGCCGCACGCTTCCCCCTTTCCACGCGGAGGGTCCTCCAGGCTGCCGGTGAGTATTTAATGCTTCTGAAAGATAACTGAGCCCAATTGTGTAATTAATTGATTTAAGGCGTCAGAGTCTATAGAATGCGATTTGCCTGCCGGAGCCAGGAACCGACTTCTCTGTTCTCATCACCCAGCGGCGCAGGCGCGCGGCCTGCGGAAGAGCCTCCGCGTGGGTTAGAGCAAACGTGGGCCCATTGATCTCAATTCAGGTTGGAATTATTGGTTTATATCCTCAGGACAAATAGGCCTTATCTGGGCAGGAGCTGCTGAGTGTGTCCAAAGGCCACACGGAGCCTGTGATGCACGTTGTATCTAATTCTTTCTTAAGCCAACTAACCAAGTCATGACAGCGCTGGTGGGGACCTGTGGACCGGCTTCCCAGCCCGGTGCGGGGTTCCATTCAGCGGCCCCCCCAGGGGAAACGCGGGCTAGAGGCTCAACAGGAGCAACTAGTTTTCAGAGGCAGCGCGCACACCACAGAAATGGGGATCATTATGAAACTGAAACGCCTTTCCGTTGCAAAAGGCTGCACCGCGCGAAAGACAGCCCCCTCCCACAGGCATTTTTCTTTCTCTGATTCACACAACTCGCCTTAGTAAACACTGCATTCTTCATTTTCCCCCTAGAAGTCTGCCGTAAACGGAAGGTTGTGCCAATAACTGCAATCATCACACACGGATTGACATCAAGCAACCAAATGTGAATAGTCTTTTGTCATTACAAGTGACAGCTCTCTTAAGAATGGTAAAAAACGCACACCCTATTTGTCATCCCGGAGAGCTACCCTTACCTCAACATCCCTCACGTGGAAGGTGATTAAAATTCCTATAAAATTGCCATATCTTTGAATTTAGAAGCAGAGCAGATTTTCATCAATAATTAAGATCTCCAAAGCATTGATGCCAGGCGCAAATGGAGCTGCAATCCTCCTTATTCAAATAAACTTGGTAAACCCATTAACCAAATGTTTCTACAGTTTCCCCTCCTCTCCTGCTTCCAGCATATCAAACGATCGCACACTTCTCTAGGTCAGAGAGGTATCAGTAATCTTAGCACATATTTTAATTAACCAAAGATAAGAAGGCATTCACTCAGACAAGAATTCACGAGTATATTTCTGCACATGCGGGAGAAGATATTTCCCATCCGGTGATAAAACTGAGTATTAAAGGTTATTCAAGAGTCGATACGTGAGGGGCTGTTACACAAACCCCAAAGTGATTTTGCAGGGGACACACGGCACCTGAAACATCAGTGGAATCAACGCGGCTACTCGATCACTGTGCTGTGCTGAGAACCTCAGGCCGTGGAAACAAGCCAGCTTTTTAAATGTACAAATATCACAAATGGAAGACCACTCAGAAGATGAAGCACTTCGCACCTCTGTGTGAGGAGCAGACGCGCACCGCCTTTTCAAGCATCCTACAGTCAGACAAGATGCCAAGAGCTGCTCAAACACTTCTAGCCAATCACGGAAAACAAAATAAATTCAGGTACGAGCCCAACAACCCTGAGGCTGGAAGATTTCCATGGCCACCGCACTAAAGACAAATATGATGCTATTGATTTCTGTAGCTGGAGTTGGACAGTGTTGAACTTGCTCTCGCGGCCTGAGTGACGGCCACAACTGGTCCGCCCTATTTGATTACTAATAAGAGCCGTCCCTTCTGTCAGATACCGAGCATTCCCCACTAAGCAAACAGCGATCCCAGCTAGTTCAACATTAGCATTGCTCTCCACTGGAGGCCCACATTTCCTTGGGCTTAACTCATGGAGTTTTCCGGGTTTAATTTTTCAGACACCGGACAGCCAAAGTTCATGATCAAAAGATAACTTTGTCCTGAAAGCTGCTGAAATCCAACCCCTCTTCAAAACGGCCTAAACCTCTGCTTCACAAAACTGGAGTCATATGTACACGTCTAGCATTTATTCGATTTGGGTACCAGTTTCAAAAAAAAACCCCAGCCCATCACACCCTGGGCCTCTGGCTGTTGTTCCCCATTGTTGGGAGAAAGAAAGCCTCCCTCCTCTAGGGCACAGAAACCCAGCGATGGGGGGGTGGGGGGGTGCTCCGGAGGAGGGCAGGGGGGTAGTGTATTTGTTGTTTCAGCTAAAGCAACAGCAAACGCACATTAACACGATTAGGGCTGATGATTAGTCGCTTTAAAGGATGCAATGTGGCCCAAGGAACATGATAAATAGCAAGATGAAGAGCAGCAAATGTAAAGAATGCATACAGCTCATCTAGTGATGGATATTAATGTTGGAAAATGTAACCAGCATGTGTAATTAGTTTCAATTATAACAACTTTGGTTTGTTAGTTACATATTTGCTACTTGACATAAAACGACAGCCACAATTGGAAAAAAATTAGGAGACATTTTGCAACTAATTGAGAGCAGATTAAATTCATTCTAGCACTGGGCAACAATTACAACAGTAACACCACCCAAGTCTCAACTTCGGCTATCATCATCCGAGATTTAAAAAAAAAAATTAATGCAAAAATGAAATACTTGTTAACAAATTAGCAAAAAGCATTTTATGACATATCTCTGGGTTTAAAGCCAGAAGCTCCGTAGGCATAAAGTGCTCCTCACAGTGAGAGCGGTGGCAGATGAAACTGCTTCCCTTGACAACTCGAAAGCAATTACCGAATCCCCACAGAGCCAGCCTCCAGGTTTCCAAGTCAACCCACCTGTGCGTGATAACACACGCGGACAACACACGGCAACGCGCACGCGGAGCTCAGCCCCAGCCCCACAGAAGGGAGCCACTGCTGCCCCAGCCAGGCACAGGCAGGGGCGGGGGCTGCGGTTTTGTTTGGAAAAAAATGAAGAAGTCATCCTTACCTGTCAATGATTACGGGGTCTGAGGGCGTCTCGTTTCTATTGCCACAACTTTTCTTGTCACAGCACCGGCTGTGGAGTAATTGTAAACAGGGCTTTTAATATGCATGTCATCCTTTTATGCCCGACTGGTAATTTTTTTTTTTTAAGTCTGACAGTCAAGCGGCTGGAGTCAACAAAATAAGTTATCCTACCCAGGCAGACTGGCAATTTTCAGTGGGTTCACGTGCTCTGTGACTAAACTTAAGGTGTAACTTTCTACGGGAAGGAGCAGAGTTGAACAGAGCTGTTCCTAGGAGGAGGGTTACAGAGCTACCACCTAAATTGTGATGCTAAAATATGGAAAACATGTTGCCCTGTTTGTCTTTGCAGTGAACTGAGGAGAAGGAGAGGCAGGAGGCTGGGGAATAACTTTTCACAGCTTCAGCTTTGTTTACCTCTAATTGTCAAGCTGTTATTTCTGGAAAAGATGCAAGATGCCACCTTCAACCAATATTTCTTTGGGGCATTTATTAATTATAACCACAAAAGCATGCATCCATCTATCAGGAACTTCCATTGTTCCTTCTTTAAGCCTACCTTGACGCTGTTATTGAAACTTTAATTAAAGCAGAAATGAAACAAAAATGTTATGCTTCTTGCATTTTAAAAAAGCATACTTGTATAATGGTTACATGTCTAAATTAGCTAAATTAACACCATATGGTAGGCAAAGTATATAAAGCCTTTTAAAGCTGACAGCTAAAGTGATTAAAGAAAGTCTACAGTCTTCCACTTAGAGCTTAAATCACATCTGTGCGCTTTCTATGTTAATTGCAGTACATGCAGAAGTGGATAATAAAGAAATTCCACTTTATTGGTTGTAATTTATATTTATTACCTGATATGAGAAAAAGTCAGCTTTTGTATATTAGTGCTGTAACAATATGTCTGCTCAGAATGGCATGGAGGCAGCCGGCACCGCAGCCAGGCAGCGCCCGCCCCGCAGAGCCAGCGGCCCACTGCTGTCGCAGGCTTGCAGGTCCTTGTCACTCCTCGCCACGATATCTCACAAGCCGCACGTACAAAGCCAACGATGCATTTTTATTTGCGTGAAGGGGAGAAACTCTTGTGGTCGTTAGGAAAAAAGCAGGAGGGGAACTGCTCTTGTGACAGGGATCTCAGGAAAGCGCAGCCTTAACAGGCCTGGGAAGGGCGCCTGGCTGCACCGGGGAAGAGGTTAACTGACAGACTCACAGTCCAATTCTCACATGCTCGGCTCTGTCACAAGTACAGAGTTTCCTTTTATCGATACCAGCCGCAGGCACGGCTCAGGATGCCTGCGCTGCAGAAGGAAGCAGTCAAGTGCCTGGGAGTGATCCCTAACTCCTCCGCACGGAGGACACAGGCATCACCCGGGACCCTTTGCATTTCTGATATCACAGCGACATGGCCAACACGTTCATCGGCTCTGCTGAGCTGCCAGCCAGCTGCGGGGACCATCGTCGCTGTCGTGGGGGAAATGAGCCCGGCTCCTGGGCTGCGGCTTGCGGCCAGCCGATTACATTTCAATCGAACCCCATCCCAAAGCCGAGCCGGTGGAGG